TTTTATTACCTATCGAAAAATCTTCACTAATAAATTTTATTATATGACCACATATAGTTTTGATTTACATAGTGCACTGCGCACCCCAATGGTTCATGTACTTTAACACGGCAATGTAATGCACAAATTCTAAGTTTCATTTTTATTAAAATCAAAATTTTGGGTTTACAAAAAAAACCCGCCCCGTGCCTCAAAAAAATGCAGTATATTGCCACCAAAAAAACAAAACCTGTAGCCCTCCAAAAAATCTTTCGCTTTAAAACTACAATACCTTTAAAAAAACGTTTTTAAAAAAAAAAATTTTTTTTTTAAAAAAAAAAAAAAACAAAAATTTTTTTTTTAAAAAAAAAAAAAGCCATGAAAAAGTTACGATTTCTTTCGTATGGCCTTAACTCGCTTGACAAGAACTCGAACATCTTTGCCATCAACTTCAACTATCGCAGTGTGATTGTTGGACGTGAGTGATTTAAACACACCATGTTGGGAAAAGGTTGGTTGCAACTTTCTTTTTCGAGTTTGCTGATTCATATCATGATTTGGAGCAATAGCAATTGTGGCCCCAGTTTCAATTGTGTTGTTAGACATTTTTTTTCTATACACACTACCCTGCCAATATATTCTTGCATGATACTTCTTAAGCGAAATATTTATAGATTGCTGAATTTCTAATATTCGAGAAATACGTTCTTCTACAGCATCAGAATCAGTAATCTGGGTGGTGGGTTCAAAGGCAGCAGTTTGGGCGGTGGTGGTTTCGCAGGCAACATCCTGTACAATGGTGGTTTCGCAGGCAACATCTTGGTCGGTGGTGGTTTTGCAGGCAATATCTTGGGCAGTGGTGGTTTCACAAGCAGTACCTTGAGTAGTGGTTTCACAGGCAGCACCTTGGGTAGTGATTTCACAGGCAGTTTCGGCGGTGGTTGTTTTAGTGGTGGTGGTTGTTTCGGTAGTGGTGGTTTCGCAGGCGATTTTGATAGTAGTTTTAGTAGCGGTGGCAACAATTTCGGTGGTGGTGGTTTCAGTGGTAGCAGCTTCTGAAACGATATTCTTGGGGACATCTTTTATAAAAATAGATAAATGAATGATTAGTAGTATTGTAATTTTAAAACCTATTTTAGCACCTTAAAACCTAACTAATTCTAACCCTAGCTTAACCATATTGAGTTTGCTAACCTTAACATTATTCATTTGAGTTTGTTAACTCTAAGCCTAAATCTATTTATTTTGAATTTGCTAACCCTAACCATATTGAAACAAGTCAAATATTAACAAACTGGCTATGCTGGAAGTATTATAAACACAATGCATTTTCTAGCCAAAAAATGTTTCATGTGGTATATAATCGTGTGCTGTGTGGACTATCGAGTTATATGACGTAACAAATACGTCGATTACGTTGATCCAATCTTTTCTTTGCAATTGATTATTTGGATCCCAAAGCAACTTAGTGAAACTACGACTCACAGTCTGGTTAAGTCGCTTGATTTGTCCTTGTGACTGGGGTGATGGGGTCGACCATGCCGAATTGTAATTTTGAGGGCTTCACAAATTTGTGTAATTACAGTTGCGACAAATTCCTTACTATTGTCACTCTGAAGAACCGCAAGAGGCCCAAGAATCTTGAAAATATCTTTAAGGAGGTGGGTTGCAACCGTACCTGCTTCTTTATTTTTCATTGGGATTGCGATGAGGAATTTAGAAAACACACAGACACATGTAAGTAGCCACAAAAAACCGTCATTCATTTCAACAAAATCATAGAAATCGACTAAGTCGATTTGAACGTGCTGCCAAGGACCCAACAATACTACAGATATTATATTGGTTTTTTCTTTGATGGAGATATTAATAGCACAAATAGTACATTCATTTACGTATACCTTTACCTCTTCCTGTGTGATTCCAATATGCTTTTCTGAAATCACGGAAAAGGTTTTATGATATTCACGGTAGTTGGCTTGATCATGAAAGCATTCCAATATTATAGCACACATTTCTGCATCATATTTGGGGACTATACAGCATTTTCCTGACTTGACCACACCATCCTTTACAACCTCCTTAATATAAAGAATGCTATTCTCATCAACTTCAAAATTTCGTAGTGGCAAATGAAGTTGTACTTTGCGTGAAGGGTTTTTTGAATACTATCTGGACAGTTCCTGATCAAAAATATTCGACAACCACATAGTACTCCTCTACTGTCTTGGGGATTTTGAGAATCGCTGGTATTTTTTAAAAAAAAAAACCTTAACAAACATAAAAGTTTTTATTTGGCAGGTAGGTGGTGGGTGTCTACTATTTGGGTGGGTAGTGGTGTTTCTTGAGTGGGTGGTGGGTTTTCTTGGGTAGGTGG